TTATTTCTGCCATCATTTCAGATGGCTTTCCCACATTCCATGGTACAAACACCTGCATCCAACAAGCTGCTTCCCTGCCTTGGACATTTAGGTTGCTTTCCGCTTCCACTCCCAGCCCTGCTATGCCAAGGCCCATATCTTTGCTCACATCCTGGATGAAATATTTCCTCGGGACAAAGCCCAGGAGGAGGAACTGCTGGTCAGCAACTGCCTTCTGGCACAGTGCCAGTGTCCTTCAGAAGGACCCTCCCCAGGTCCTCTCCCACAGGGAGGTCTCTTTGGTTGACATGCAGTCATTGGAAACGTCATCTCAAAAAGGGATCAACCCTTTGTCGAACAGGGGTAATATCTTCCCTGTTTATCATTTGCTATTAATTTTTATTTATGACGTTTTCTGAGGAGTAAAAGGTTTTATCTTTGTAATCAAATTTTTATCTTTCTTGTTGTACTTAGGAAATACTTCACCATCCAAATATTCTCGTGTAATTTTCTATTACTCTTATAGTTTCACTTTTTATTTGTATAAAGCAAACATACTTTTCAGCTTCCTTGTGAGTTTTCTTAACTGATTTCAAAACACTACAAAATCAATAGACTCAAAAAAACCCCAAAAAGATTAAACTGATTGTGCAAATACATGTGTCTGAGGACTAAAGAACTGAGGTTCAGAGTGAGCTTAAATAAATTCCACATGCTCTGATTTGTTTTCTGCAAATGCAAGGGAATACATGTGGCAGAAAGAAGCGACTGTACCCTTCACTTCCAACGAGGCATTCGGGCTGCAGAGGGAAGGTGAGACTGCTGCTCGGGGCAGACCTGCGTGCGCCCGTCAGGTACTGAGCACAGCGCAGTCTGGTGGCTGGGCTGAATCGCCGACTCTTAGCACCTGAAGGAATCTAGAAGGATGGCAAGCTCGCTCTCCCTCCCAAATGGTGTCCCACTTCTATGAAGGTCCGGTACGTCACCACCCAGCCTATTGTTACCACATCTGCCAAGGGCTCAGGGGTATTTGCCCTTTCTCCTCCGGTTCTGTCATGCCTTCCATAGTTAGATGTTAACACAGATGCTTCCTTTGTCAATGGTCCTCTTAACTGTGGTCCCAGAACAGAAAGCAAAAGTCTGCACGGGATTCTGACACATACACTTTCCAAATTGAACTTGTAGCCCTCCCCCACCACCAAAGCCAGACAAACAAGAAATACCCAGCCCTACCTCCTACATTCCCCCTCTGTGCTGGGCACGGCCATCTACGCTATCACACAGCTAAGACTCTAGCATGTGACAAATACTGCATTTCAAATCAATGGGGAAAATATGGATTATTCAGTAGCACTGGCTACCCATTAGGACAAATCAGTTAGATCCCCATTTAGAGTTTTATTCCAGATATATTAAAACTAAATGTAAAAGAAAACCATAAAAGGGATAGAAGAAAATGCAGATGACCATCTTAGGGGTCTGAAGCCTGCTTTAAGCATTTCATAATTAAAAAAACCCGTGAAGAAAAAGATTTGACTACAATAGTGAAACAAAAAAGCAAACTTTCATAGAACAAAAGACGACAAATGCAAAACAAAGAAAATGTTTATAGCACAGCTAAGAAATCTAAGAAAAAAAGTTTCATATATTTTACATATAAGAACTCTTATAAATCTATAAGAAAAACAAATACCTCAATGGAAAAATGGGCAAAGGACATAATAGCAGCTCATAAAAAATATAAATGGCTAATAAGTAGGAAGTGATATTCAACATCCTACTTAAGAAATTGAAGTTCAAATGACAATTGGATACCAAATGAGATGCCATTTCCTCCCAAAATAGCAAAAAGAAAATAAGAATGAAAATACTCCATTATGGGTACGGTGGCTCACACCTGAGATCCCAGCTACTTGAGAGGCTGAGGCAGGAGGACTGCTTGAGCCCAGGAGTTTGAGACCAGCCTGGGCAACATAGCAAGACCCCATATCTTTAAAACTAACAAACAAACAAACAAACAAACAAAACACCTCATCTTAGGGAGAGTTTAGGGAAAGGGATTTTTTTTTTCCCTGAGACAGGGTCTCACTCTGTCCCCTGGGCTAGAGTGCAGTGGCATCTTCATAGCTCACTGCAATCTCAAACACCTGGGCTCAAATGATCCTCTTGCCTCCTGAGTAGCTGGGACTACAGGCAAGCACCACCACACCCAGCTAATTTTTCTATTTTTTTGTAGAGATAGGGTCTCACTCTTGCTCAAGCTGGTCTCGAACTCCTGGCCTCAAGTGATCCTCCCGCCTTGGCTTCCCAAAGTGCTAGGACTATAGGCATGCGCCACCACACCTGGCCTGGAGGGTGATTTAACGGATTTATCAAGAGCCTTAAAATGGAGCATCAATTACTCAATACCATAACGCCACTTCTAAGAATTCAGCCCAAGGAAAGAGCAGACAGACAGCGGTGTGTCCTGGACACACCTTGTAGCCCTATTTATTCTAGGGGCAGCAAACCACATCCCACAGAACATACCCAGGCCAGGCCTGTTTTCCCAAAGTCAAAGATTGGTTTTTATGTTTTTAAAACATTGTTTAAAAAAAAAAAAAAAAGAATATGGGGCAGAGACCATATGTGGTCCACAGAGCATAAAATATTTATTACTTGGCCCTTTATATAGAGTCGGGTTTATACTATGAAAAAATTGGTCAACCAGTGACTAATGATAAAAGACTGGTTTAAAACCATGATAACATCATACAACGGACCTCTCTTATTAATGATGATGCAATCATATGTTAGTTGACATATAATGTGATACTGGCCATGATATTACACAGCCATGATATGAGAATGTGAACACCCCAAGTTACCAGGCTATGTGCAGTGTAGCTCCATTGGTATGCAGGATACAGACATTACAAAGTCATGGTGATCATCTCTGGGTGGAGAGATCCCAGGTGATAAATATTCTCTTTTTGCATAGCTAAGTTTTCTCAATTTCTTACAAAGTGTTGTAAATTATGTAAAAAGAAGAGGTCAAGTGGGAGTTAGGTGTCACTTGTGGCCATCATTACTGCTATTCAGCAGTGTCTCTGGTTCTCCTCTGGGCACACGGCAGAACTGCCCTTCCTCACCTATAGGCTGGCCATGGCCACTTTACTTGATTTGGCCAACAACATTGAGGGGATGGGACAGCTGTCACTTCCAGGAGGAAATAGCCAAGGAGCAAAAGCTCCATCCCCTTCTCTAGGCGCTCCTGGCCAAGACGCCCAGGGACTGTGTTACACCACAGGCAAGGTGGCGTCTGGGCTGAGGCTCCTCCCCCATGAGCCGCCAGGGCTACGTCATGGGCTCTTCCTCCGGGCATCCCCACCACCCTGAGGAACGACCATCACCCACATCACCACCCGGCTCGTCACCGTGGCTGCATCTGTCTTCCAGAAGACTGAAATTCTGAAAAGGCCGCCGACTTCTTATCTCTGGCCCTGCAGTGTCTGACACAGCGCCTGGCACGCAGTAGGAGCTCATTAAAAGTCACTACATCAGTTCAGCCAGTTTCTAAACTGACAGGGATTACCAGGCAGACTTCAGGTAGGAGGTAAAATTCAGGGATAAAGAGACCAAAAAAACAAAGGAAATTTGAATTTTAGTTGCTGGGATGGAGGAGTTTACGTATGTAGAGGGCATACCAAGTAAGTATTTTTCTTTTAAAAGTTTATTCTAAAATAATGATGTACTTTATTAAAAGCTTTTCAGATTCACAATCTGAATAGCAGACTCCACTGCAGGAACTATAACTATAAGGAGTTTAAACAAGCCCTGTGAAGTACAGAAGTCGTGTAGGTAAAGTTATGGCACGCAAGCAGATGCACCCTGAGAAGCTCCCAAGCCTCTGGGCCCATGCTGCGAATCCACGTGGTTCCCTCGCGTTCGCTCTCACGATCTCTGCCCGAATGCCCGTACCTATGAATTCTCACTTGCTGCTTGCATCTTTAGCCTGTTTCTACACTGTTAAGTCTGTGGAGGGCAAACAGAGAGTCGGCCCCTGGACAGGGGTGCACATCTCGCCCAGCGCGGCAGGCACGGGCTACGTACACGCTGTGTAGGCAAGACAGCCACAGCCTCCTCTTCAGGGGCTCACAGCCGAGCGGAAAGAGACATTAAAGAGAGTTCTAGGGGTAAAGATCAATCACACACGGCAAACGCAACTATTTTTGTACCCAACTAAGTACTGTATCTAGTGGTCCCCTAGAAACTCCCTACTGGGGACTCCAGTGACACATGCTGGCCTGTCACGAAGAAAGTTGCCCACACAGGCCTGGTCAAGAGGCAGAGAAGAAGAAATGCGAGTAGGGGATGGGAGGGTCTGATGGGGAAGCCGGGATGAAAGGATCCCGTAGCAGCAGGGTAGGCACCAGGCCCACCCCAGAGCCACCGGCTGCTCTCAGTGCTTCTGGGCTTGAGAACAGGGGTTTTATTCCTGATGAAATCTGATCAGCCCATCATTTAGAAATCTCCAAAGGAGAGAGCAGTGAAAATATAAAACTGTAAGATCACCATAACAAAGCTAAAGGTCAAACGCTGCACACAGAACTTCAGAACAGCTGCAGGGATGAAGTGTTTCTGCTTTTGCAAGGGAACGGAGTGGGCAGGGATGGAGAGTAGAGGGTGCCCAAGAGAGGAGACAGCAAAGTCACTGGAAAAATCCAAACTTTACCCTTTATCTCCACTCTGTGTCAGTCACCAATTAACAAGGGAAACGGGTCTTTCTAGCCACTCTTTATTCCATTTCCCGTCTCTCCATTTCTTGAAGTCAGATATGGGACAGGACAGCATAACAAACATTTTCTCACCACCTGGTATGATGAGAAGGGCACACATTTAAAAGCTGGGCAGCCTGGACATGAACCAGCTTCGGCAATTCAGCTGTCTACACTTGTAAAGCTAATCAGGGAAGTTTTTAACTTTAGCTTTCTGAGCCCTAACTGCCTAATGTATGAAGAGTTGCTTTTTCGGTTCCCCCGTTGACTTCCCGGAGGATTGGATTAAGTTACGTTGGTTGGGGCCCCCGGGCCCCGGGGGGTTTTCGGCAATTGCTTTTTCTTTCTTTGGTTTTTTTTGTTTTTTTGTTTTGTGCTTCCATTGGGACCAGGAACTTTCTTAATTGTTGCCCGTTTTCCTGAAATGAGGGTTCTCCAACGCCTCCAGGCTTGTTTGGCAAGTTTATCAGCTTATGCTAAACTCCTCCCTAAGATATCAGGAAACACAGTGCCATGAACTCACTATCCTTTAAATTTAACATTCTTACTCTTGACCATAATCTACAGAGATGGCCTACGTACAGATATTCAGTGGTAAGTCTGGAATTTTAAATACTGCATATCTGGTTGTTTCCAGAAAGCACTAAACAGCCCCCAAATTCTAAACATCTGTACTTAAACCAAACCTCTCAAACCGCCTCTCACCTGAGATAATACACAGCACTTTGCCTGCCAGGTTTCTCAGTTTGTGATTTGGGTAGGATGGAAAGTTTCAGCAGGTAGCTGGATGGATAGATGGATGGACAAAAGCCTGAAATGTGTATTTTCCTGTCTTTTTCTAAAAATTAAATTTTTCTTGGATTGCCGACTCTTCCCCATCTCCATAAATTACATTTCCAAAAGGACTTTTAATGTAGTAGCCCAGTAAAAAAAAAAAATCAATTTCCATAGATCAAGCTTTGGCTTCAAAAAAAATTGCTGCAGCCACTGAACTGAACCCTAGAGGCTGGGGTCAGGGGACAGCTCCACTTGTCAGGCGGTGAGGAGCACACACACTCCAGAAAAGTAACAGGTACGTGGTGTCTTCAATACCCACATCCTCAAGTTAACAAGAGACAACCTTTTCATCATATCATCATCAGGCTTTTCTTTCCTGTTTAATGGGCCGAGGGGGTTAGAAAACATCAGGGGAAATACACATGTGCAGTACACATGAATGAAACAAGTAAGCTGGGCTGGCCACATGCCAACTCCCAGCAGTTCGGATTGACACGTACCACACTTGCCACTGAGGCCCAGCCACACACCCTCCGGAAGGCCCCCACTCAGGGCTGTGTGGAATTGTTCAGAATCTTCAATGGCTTCCCATTGCCAAACCGAAAATGCCCAATACAACACCCCAATGTGAGTTTTCTCATTTTTGCCCCCATTCTTCCCCCACCCCAACTCTTCACTCAAGCCGGGCTGGTCCTCCCGTCTCCCATGGGCTGCAAGTCCTCATGTCCACACCTGTCACCTAGAACATTCTCTCCAGCTTCTGGGCCACATCAGGGTGACTCACATTCTATTTCTTCTTAGAGGTTTAATTGGCCTCGACCACTTTCCAAAAGTGATCATTTCTTTTCTTTCTCTGAATTCCCAAAAATGAGTTTTCTATCATCGATCAGTATCTCTACTTTCTGCTACTTACCACTTTTATCACTTTATCAACTTTCTACATTTTATCTCACCTCCCAAGTTGTAAGTTTCTCAAAAGCAAAGATGGAACGTGCTAGACTTGGTGTGATTATTACCTGGGAGGGTTTTTGAGGGATTAACGTGTATCTATGGGTATAAGTTACTTATAGTCTAAAACTACAAGTCAGTGTTCTCTGAAATTCTAAAATACACATTTTATAGACTTCTGGAATTTTGGCATCATACCATCAACAAAGCTATAGTCTTAAATAAAACGTTTTTTCTCTTCAGTGCCAGACTTTAACAAGGAAGATTTACATAGAATACATAGGCAGACTGCCTGGCACGTAGTACTCATAAATATTTGTTGAATAAACGGATTTTTTCTACTGACACTCTGAATACTGCTGATGAGTGACAATCACCACAGAAACACTAAATTTAGTGCTCAGCCACACGTGGACACACTCGGAAGGCAGTGCTTGGGCCCGGGACAGCAGTGGGCCACCAACCACAGGCACCCCCGCCCACAGAAAGGAAACAACGGGCTCAGCGCAGGCTACTCACCACCATGTTGTAGGCATCGGGAACTTCAGTTTCAAACTGAAATTTTCCACCCTGGTAGTAACCCTCATCTATCAAAAAACACAAAACAAAACAAAAAAATCCTTTAAATTAAAAAAAAAGGAAACAAAAAGCAAACACTATGTTAGAATATGGCAAACACAGAGAATTAAGAGTTTAAAACCAGGACTGCAGTGTTCCTTGGTTCCTTCACCAAATGCACGCACACTGGAGGGAGCCCTACCCCCGACCTGAAGAAACGGGCTCCGTCCACACTGTCGCCTGCCTGCTGTGCGTCTCCTCACTGGGCCGCGCGTACCCTCGGGGAAGGGCAGGGGCATGTTCACACCCTACCCGGGAACACATGTCCCGAGACCCTATTCCATGTCATGCACCCAGTGCCTCCCCCTCCACACATCTCATGCCCTGGGTGACTTTATCTGCTTATTGCTGCTCTCCCTGAGAGAATGTCGGTTCTCAGGGGATGAGGAGGTGCTGGCTAGAGCCACATGCTGTATTTCCAGTGCCTGGTACATGACTAACAGTCACTCAACAAACATTTACTAAGCACCCACCCTCTGCTGGGTGTGGTTCTAGGCCCCACAGACATAGCAGTGAGTCACAGACAGAATCGCTGCCTCAGTGAGTGCTCGGGACAGCCTTCAGAACAGAGCAGGCCCTCTGGAAATTTGGGCTGGCGAGCATGCGGGAGGATGACCAGGGTCTGAGAGTCACGGCCAGGCCCTGCACCCGCCCACAGGGCAGTCCCTCTCCCCGATCTGTCCCCAGCCTGAGGTCAGTAAACAGCTGATGGCGCTGCTGCCAGCAGAGGGCGCTCCAGCAGGAAAGAGTCCGGAAAGCCTCCCAGGAATGAAATTACCCTCAA